AGAGAAAGAATGTGAATCTTCCTGGTGTTGTCGTGGACCTTCCAACATTGACCGAGAAAGACAAAGAAGATATTATGCAGTGGGGTGTTCCCAATAAGATTGACATGATTGCTCTTTCCTTCGTCAGGAAAGGTTCAGACCTTGTGGAGGTACGGAAGTTGCTTGGGAAGCATGCGAAGAGCATTCTTCTTATGTCAAAGGTATGATGAATCTTTTCCTTAATCTGGACCAATGACTTCTGTTGTCAAAGCTGCTGCTAACATGCATTTATCAGGAAGCAATTTATAAAGTTGTCTTCTCTTATAGAAACTAACAAGTGACAACTAGGAAATTAGTTACTTATTCGGGCTAGAGAAATGCATTTCTGAATATTTGGATTCTTTCAAATGTATTAGTACGGCATTATAGGTCTTCCTGGGGTTTGGGGTATCCTAGCAGCCAATGAGTTGCAATTTATAAGATTAGTCAAGATTTCTATTCTAAATGTTGGTTGGTCCTTTTTTGTGAATGACATTTGGTAGGTTGAGAATCAAGAAGGTGTTGCAAATTTCGATGACATTCTTGCAAATTCTGATGCATTTATGGTGGCTCGGGGTGACCTTGGAATGGAAATCCCAATTGAGAAGATATTCCTTGCACAGAAAGTGATGATCTACAAGTGCAACATTCAAGGTAAACCAGTGGTCACAGCCACACAGATGCTTGAATCCATGATAAAATCACCCCGGCCGACGAGAGCGGAAGCTACTGATGTTGCTAATGCCGTCCTTGATGGAAGCGACTGTGTGATGCTAAGTGGTGAAACGGCTGCAGGAGCTTATCCAGAGCTTGCAGTTCGTACCATGGCAAAAATTTGCCTAGAAGCAGAGAGCACTCTTAACTATGGAGATGTTTTTAAACGAATAATGGAACACTCACCAGTTCCCATGAGCCCATTGGAGAGCCTGGCTTCTTCTGCTGTTAGAACGGCCAACTCTGCTAAAGCAGCTCTTATACTGGTTCTTACTAGAGGAGGCAGCACTGCAAAACTGGTGGCTAAGTACAGGCCAGGCATCCCCATATTGTCAGTTGTTGTCCCTGAGATCACGACAGATTCATTCGATTGGTTGTGCAGCGACGAGGCCCCAGCAAGGCACAGCCTTATATTCAGGGGGTTGGTGCCCGTTTTATGTGCAGGATCTTCCAGGGCTTCTTCTGCAGAGACTACAGAAGAAGCCATTGATTTTGCACTTCAGCTAGCCAAGGCTAAAGGACTGTGCAGAAATGGAGATTCCGTAGTGGCTCTACATCGCGTTGGAAATGCTTCCGTGATCAAGATCTTGATTGTGAAATAATGGGAGGTATGGTGATGTTCGATTTTGCATTTGTCTTGCAATTTTTGAGAGAGGATTTTTACTCTGGTATATCTAGAGATACGAGTCTATACTGCCTTGTGTGATTCCTAATTGAGATTATCATAATCTCAAAATGTTATGGTGAAACACACACAGATGCAGACTTGTGAATGAATTATTTGGAGACTTTCTGCTATGCTCCATATGGGGTCCATCTGTTCGGTTAAGAACATGGGATCTTATTATTTATCGACTGTTCTCTTTTGATATTACTAAGATTCCATTTAGTGCCAGTTTGCTTTGGTGCTCGTGTTAATGTTTCTTATGCTTTATTGTGCTGCGATATATTATGGCTATGCCTGTAGTGTTTGCGGTGTCGGGGGAGTGTAGCATAGTGTTCTTAGCCATGTATGCCGATGTTCATCTCAAATTATGTAATTTTAATGAAATTAAGTTTTCACCTAAGTAGTAGGTTGATTTTTAGAAGTGAAGATGAATTCTATTGAATTGATTTGGTTTTTAGATTGGAAAAAAGAAGTCAAAATGATGAGAAAACTTGAAAGGGGAACCGCAGAATCTCCTTTAATAGCCTGCATGTGTAAGAGAAAAAAATTAGACTGAGCTTTTACTACTGATCCACCCGTCTTGAAGCAGAAGAAAAAGAACAATCTCTGGCTCTTTAATTGTTCAAATCGTAGATGAATTTGCCGCAAAGTTTGGCACCGGTCTTATATCTCAAGTTTGTCAATGCGATTTTCATCGTCGCATGAAATTGAATTTATATCTCATCTAAATCTTTGCAACGATGGACCAATCGAGCAGACCTGGAGAGGGACAAGCGATTCATGTCGCTGCGGTCCAGGATGTGCATCAACGCCTCGGTCGGACCCAGCGTGGTACTTCCCAAAATAATTTTAAATGGCAACCAGCGATGCATGATGGGTTGCGTTTGGTGATATAGCCTCCATGTCCAGATCAATTTTGATAACCTCCATGAAGAAACGACGATGGAGGGCAGTTTGACATCGTCAACTTCGGATTGTCGTGCACGACAAGCCCAAAAAAGAAGAAAACGATTCGTGGATCACGTGAAGATTCGACGCCTTCTCTTCTGTGGAAGTACTTGGGAAAGAGTCGGATACCACATGGGGAGCAGTTTCTGAAAACGTTCGCCTTAGTTGTGGTTTTCTGGTCCACCTCACATGATGTAGCCCCACTCCTCCTAAGCTCAAACCAATTCAAACTTCAAACAAGCATAACATCCAAACCCCCATGAACACTGCCAAGGATTCCCTGCGAAAGCGTGCTGATAATCGCGATGGTCGTGCAAGGAGCACTGAAAGTGTCGAGAATCAGCTGAAACCGGCATTAACCTCGCCTTGAAGTGATCGAACTAGAACATGCTTTTCTTCATGGACGTAGCCACTTTGATGCGAGCGCTCCGACTAATGCGCTTCGCATGAACAGTCCTAGACAGGATGCGCTCCGACTACTGCCCTTCGCATGAGCAGGCCTAGACAGGATGTGTACGAATGTTTATTTTCCAGAGTAGATGCCGTTGTGCTACCTGGCACCTTCTCAAGTCGCGCCTCAATGAAAAGCCTATATGTGAGATATGCGCGCTCACGCTGAATGGCTCCTCTGCATCTTATGTGGACTTTAGGCCGAATGCGAGTACTCCAATGGTTACAATTGAAGCCAAGCCTCGATGTACTCATCGCAAACTCTTTCCCTAGTCCGAGGGAAACTCGGATTATCAAAAACCTGTCTGGACCAATGCCTCCATAAGCAGAAGGTCAGGCTCATTCGTAAAATGTCTTATTGTATTTGGGTCAAAGTTTCATAGCAAGGGGATTTCATGCACGGAACTGGTCAAAAATTACAAGCAGGATCTCTGGCCAAATTCCCTGTTATACGACGTTCACGCTTCGAACTAGTAAGTAAAGCTTTGGAACAGTTGCAAGCGAAAGAGACATTGCGGCGAAAAGATCCTGCTTTTGCACATATCTTGTCGGCCCAATTCCCTAAAAAATCCCAAACTTTAACTTTTATCCCAATTATATCCCAAATTTTTTTTTATCTCATAAAAAACCCCAAACTTTTACTTTTGTCCCAAATCTACCCAGTTAACTTTTCGTCCAATTTTTTAATATTACTTTTTATTTTTTCGAATTTTTTTATTTTTTCTTTTCTTTTCTTTTTCCTTTCCTTTTCTTTTTTTTTTGTTTCACCTTCTGGCCGGTCGTCGGTCCGGCGACCGGCCAGAGGCGGGGGCCGAGCCTCGCCGTGGCTGGCGAGGCTCGGCCTCGCCGTTGCTGGGCGAGGCCGACCTCGCCAGTTGCCGGCGGGGCCGACCTCGCCAATAGCCGGCGGGGCCGAGCCTCGCCGGCCGGCCGGCGTGGCCGAGTTCTCGCCAGCGGCGAGGTCGGCCGAGGCCGAACCTCGCCATTCTTTGGGCGAGGCCGACCTCGCCGGTTGCCGGCGGGCGAGCCTCGCCAGATCCGGCGAGAACTCGGCGCCACGCCCGGCCATGGCGAGGCTCGGCCTCGGCGGCGTTGGGCTCGGCCGACCTCGCCAATGGCCGGCGGGCCGAGCCTCGCCGTGGCCGGCGAGGCTCCCCGCCGGCTATTGGCGAGGTCGGCCGAGCCCAACGCCGGCGAGGCCAAGCCTCGCCGACCCCCTCTTCTGGCCGGTCGCCGGACCGGCGACCGGCCAAAAGGTGAAACAAAAAAAAAAGAAAAGGAAAGGAAAAAGAAAAGAAAAGAAAAAATATAAAAAATTCGAAAAAATAAATAATAATATTAAAAAATTGGACGAAAAGTTAACTTGGTAGATTTGAGACAAAAGTAAAAGTTTGGGGTTTTTTATGAGACAAAAAAAGGTTTGGGATATAATTGGGATAAAAGCTAAAGTTGAGGGTTTTTTAGGGAATTGGGCCATATCTTGTCGGCAACAGAAATCAGAAATTGACCCACCTTAAATGTGTTGCATGCATCTTGCCATGCCTGCTATTCCTCTCCTCTTTTAGCTTCTATTACAACAATCAGATCTTGTCTGCAACAGAAAATAGAAATTGGCCTACCTTAAATGTGTTAGAAGCATCTTGTTATACCTGCTATGCTCATTGCCTTTGCCTTCAGTGAGATCAAAGGGACATTAACCTGTTTTTTAACCTCCATCTCCGACATAGGGTCTCTCTTCTCTTCCTTGTTGGAGCACTGGAAGCTGCCACCCCACATGTCAGAATCACTTCAACGAGCTTTACTCGTCTTATGATCCGTGGCCTGTGCCAAGTTCTCTCCGAGCACACCGACTTCCCCAACATAGTTTCGATTTCTACCATTGGAGAGGTTAAAAAGGACCCCCTTGAAGCATCATATATTTGAAAACGAAAAAGGGTAGCAGATTGACAGCAATGCCAATCACAGTCGCGGTAGCTGTTTTATCATCACACGAGGATGTGCAAATCCTCCTCGTTTCTATTTTAAAAAGCACAAAAGAAAATACAAATTTCCAACAAATGGGAAAAAAAATAGTAATATCTTCTTGGAAAATTCCACATAAGCAAGTACAATACTATGTACAGGCGGAATGCAAGATCACCACAGCAACAAGCCAAGGAAGAAATACCAGGACTAGTAAGAATTGTTCTCAATTCTCACCAGTTTAAAATGAAGCACCTTCACGTTCGTTCGATGATGAACCCGACGGCGAGGATGTAGAATTTCCTCCCCCAGAATGCGATCCAGAGTTGGAAGAGAACAAACCACTGAAAGGCCATGGGAATGAAAACCTCCTGCCATTTTCATTTCTGCGGTTCCCTTCTCCTTCTTCAACACTACCCCGAGCACTCTCACTCTCCCTCTCACCTGTGTCATTTCCGTTCCTGGACCCATCAGCAGTATCTCCATTTTCTGATTCAGATGCAATTCCAGCTCTAGCGTCTCGCAACAATCGCAAGATAGTGGCTGAGCTTCTCCTCCTCCTACGAATTATGGATTCAATTTCCCGATCGAACTCAGCATCGACTCCATGATGCGACTCGCCCTCCTCGGTATCATCATCTTCATCTTCAAATCCCAAGCGTCTGAACCTACGTCTTCGATGGTTATCGCCCATCATGCCAAGCAAAATCGGTGCCCAAAGAGAGAGCGCACGGTCTGAACCAAAGTCGCCATCAGAGTCCCGTGTATCCCTCGTGGTGGAGCTCATCTCTTCAATAAAACCGCTTTCGCAGTACGGCCACTTGATCTCTGCTTCCGGAATGGGATTCACCGTTCGGGAGCACACGTGGCACCAATATCTTGCTACCATTGCTTCCTCCATCTTGTCTTTCCCTCTTCCCCCTTCAGTTCTGTCATGCCCAAAGCAGTGAAATTAACAACCATCATAGGCTAATAGGTAGACTGAGACAATACGCAGCCCAAGTCTACACTCAACAGCAGAGGCTCCACGTTTGAGTAATTACTAAGACTCTTTGGAAAGACAAAAGATTCGTAGGAAAGACAAACAATATTTACAACCATAATAAATAAGGGCTCTAGAAACTTGAAAGACATTAACTAGATCTTGAAAATATACGAGAATTAAATGTAACCGATCGAAGGTCTCCCTTACTTTTCCATTTCCAAAGTGGATATATAATTAATGGCCTTTGAAGGAACCGAACAGCCTTCGGTTCATTGTGATCGAAAAGTCGATTTTGGAATTGACAATATCGGTAAGAGCCGACTTGGTACCGATAATATCAACAAGAGCGAACTTGGTACCGATAATATTGACAAGAGCTCGACGTCTCAAAAATGCTCCGACATCAAAGTCCGCGGACTCCATTTCTGGTGGAATGTAGACATTTGTTGGGGATTTCCTAATCACAAGTCAAGGACCCGCCCCATTGGTGCATCAACACAACCAATTAGAAAATTTCAGACCACTTCCTTTTGTTGGGGATTTCCTAATCACTTTCTTTCTAGAAGGGCAGTGGACTTTTGTGCCCAAGCATGGCCAAGAAAGTCTACGGCGTGGAGAAGGGGCGCAGTAAGGTCAGAGAGGAGAGAAAGGGGGAAGTTTCGGAGCAGGGTCGGTGAGGAACCGTGAGAGAGGAGAAAAAGCTAATTAATTAAAAAAATTTAAAAAAATCAAAAAAATTCAGATCTTGCCGGCCTTGACCTGGCTTGGTAGGTAGCAGCCCCGACCATAAAATAAAAACAGGGGAGCTCGATAGGAGAGAGAGACCGAGAGAGATCTATAGAGAGAGCCGAGAGAGACAAAACGAGAGCAAAGGGGGAACATCGATCGACACCTCGGCCGCTCGCGAGCCCGGCCAGACGATCCCACCGCCTGACCAACGAACCGTCGCCGCCACACTACAGGTAGGCTCTGTTTTGGCCGGTCTTGCTCTGTTTTGAACACGCCTAGCCGGAACTCGTGGCCGTCCGGCTTACCCGAGCTCCGGCCCTGTCGGTCCTTCGTCGGGTTGCTGTATGTTCGTTGTTCGTGTGTTGAGAGTCCCGGCTCGTGTTTGAGTCTCGGTTGAACCAAAAATCGCTCCTTTTTTTTAAGCGCTCACCGAGTGTTCGACAAAACGACCAGCTGAGATCCGGTTTTGGTTCGTCCATTTTTGGCTGGCGTCGAGTCACCCACGTGTGTCGCATTCCTTTTTGGCGTCCCTGTGGTGTTTAGAGTTCCGGGCGTTGGCCGCCTAACGTCGGCTGCGTCTCAGCCGCCGCCGTCGTTTCGATTGAAGTTTGGCCGGGAAGGTACCCAGGCCGGTGCCGGCCAGGGAACGGCGGCCCAGGTGGAGACCAGGCTTCGGCCTGGACTGGCCAGAGCGACGCCGGAGCGGGGCATCGCCAGGCCGAGAGGAGCGGCTTCTCGGCCGCCTCCGTTGAGACCCCGTGGAGCTGGGGATGCAGAACGTCGCGGGTGAGGAAGAGGAGTCGGGTCTGTCTGGGGGGTGCAGAGTCGGGTCGGATCCGGGTTGGGGGAAAAGCCTGACCCGGCACCCTTTTTTATTTTTTATTTTTATTTCATTTTTTTATTCTTTTCTCCTTCTGGGCTGGATTAGAAAATAGGTTCGGGCCCGGGCCCGATCCTGTTCAGGACCCGGGTCGACCCCGACCCGGGTCAACGAATTTGGGTCGGGTTCATTGACCCGGGTCGCTTCTGACCCGACCCGGATCCGCCGACCCGATCTGATCGAATGTTATATATATAATTAAAAATATTATTTTTTTAAAAAAATAATAAATAAATAAACTTTTTTATTATTTGTTTTAAAATTAAGAAATAGTTTAGAAATTAGTATTTTCGAATATTTTTCCAAATTATATAAATTATTTGACTAAACAATCGTATTTAAGCCAGATAAGCCTATAGGGCTATACGGTAAAATGTTGTGTGTTATTTTTACTACTATTATATTATTATCATGCATGTTGTTTCTAATTAGAATATAAAATCATAAATTGTCATGTTTTAAAAAGGCTTGCTCTATTGGTTACAAGAGATCATCTCCCATGCTGTTTTCATTGCCGAACTGAATAGTTATCGGTCACATCCTCGTACGTACGAATGGTTATGCACTCTTTATTATCTAACTCACACTAAACCCCCCTCTCTCCTTGACTTTTTCGTTCCTTATATCTTACGATGTTCTATAAAGATTTATTACGTTTTGTAATAACGCACATTTTTGTTTAGTATTTCAATTAAATTACCAAAATTAACTCTCATATAAAAAATGCACACTGTTAAGTGTCATTTTCAATGAAAGCGGTGGTCGTCCATGCTCTGGGAGCCCTCTCTCGGAGTTATGGGTCGCTTTCAATTTTCAACGGCTTACCTTCGTTTTCAATGTTTAACGTCAGGGCTTCAAACGTAATATTCTCAAATAGACATCACCAAGATTTGGCAGACCTTACCATAAATACGGAGGCAGGGATGGTGCAGGTATCATGATACAAATTAGAGAGACGCATGACATGATCACAGAGGAACTTGGAGCTCCATCACCATGAATTGTATTGATTTGTGTACAGGGGAATCACCATGTCTACGTGTATAACAAGATCGGTGGCGGGAGTTTCGGAGAAGTGTTTGAAGGAAATTACAAAGACAGGGATGTTGCAGGTATCATGAATATTATTTTCTCTGGAATCATTTGTTCTTGTTTATTCTAATCCGTCGGCTTTTTTTTTAATGCTTGTTATTTGAGTGATGGGGTGCATCTGTAAATCTATAGAAGTGATATAATAATCATATATCATTTAACTGATAGGTTTATTATTGATTTATTAATTTCGTGGATGATGAATAATCTTGAAACTTGAAGTTCAAGAAACTATTATTACATTCAATGCTTTTGAACGTATTGATATATGTATAGTTTCGCTTAGTCTAAGAATACTTATCATGTAGACTTAGAAATCTTGGGGATGACTTATGAATTGATCAATTCTTTTATTCCACGAAAACTTTCAGTCAAGTTTGTACAGGGCGCTGTAGCGGGTCGACCCATGTTTCGGCAAGAGGTGTCCATTTGGCGCAGTCTGCACCACCATAACATTGCTAAGGTAGTGCTCTCTCTCTCTCTCTCTCCAGATAAATTTCACCATTTGAGGAGTTGGTAATTATCTTGGTATCGTTACCGGTTTTCTTTCGTTCAAAACGTTCCACTCTTTTTCTTGTCGTAAACTAGTAATTCTCATATGCCCTAATCATTTATTTTTCTCAGTTCATAGGATCTACATGTGATATGTCGCGTATCATATTTAGAGGGCAAAGGCCGAGAAATGTAAATGTATGTTGTATGGTCTCTGAGTATTATCCAAGAGGTAGCGTGCCTGCTTTTTACCTTTCGGGGAACCGGACTCTCACCAGGGCCGTCATCAGAAGTATAGCACTCGATGTAGCAAGAGGGTTGAAATCTTTCCCTCGTAAACTATTTTCAGTGTTTTGTTTCATTCAAAACCTTTCGCAATTTACGTTTCGACTGACCCTTGTGGATTTAACTGCTCTCACTCATAGGTTGAGATACCTTCATGATGAAAAGGGAATCATCCATGGAGATGTGAAGCCATCCAACTTGCTCGTGGATTCGAATGGTACCGTGAAAATTGCTGATTTCGGCATATCTCATTGGGCAGATGGTTACGATTCGTCCCAAGTCGGCGGCGGGGACATCCATTACAGGGCCCCCGAGGTATCCCCTTAAATGCAATTCACTTCAATGAGAGTTCGTGCCTTAATGTGCTTGATAAGTGTTTCGTGTCCGATATAAGGTCATCAGGAACGGGACGTCCGGCACGAAAGCAGATGTCTACAGCTTCGGGATCACCTTGTGGGCGATTTGCCACAACCAGAGGCCGTACCCACGCATGACGCCTCAGCAAATCTCTCAAGCGGTTCTCCTGCAGGTAATCAGCCGTCCCCAGTGACTCAGTTACTAAATCATATTCTTGTATGGCATAATTAGCTTGGAATCGAAATGGTTGCTCACGAGTTTGGTTGGTTTTGAAAACTGGCAGAACGCGAGGCCGCATATATCGGAAAATTGCCCGAGACGATTTGCGAGCTTGATGACGCGGTGTTGGCAGGCAAACCCGGAAAACAGACCAAGTATGAATGCCGTGGTGAACGAGCTAAATTCCATGAGGATGCTGCCCAGATAGTCCACGAGGAACAGAAACATGTTCGATGAATGGGTATAGCTGTATATTGAGGGCATATCTCTACCTCCAGTTCACATTGTCGGGGGGCGGAACTTTTGACGGTCAAGGGAAAACGGCTTAGACAAAGAATGACTGCGGCAAAAAGATGGATTGCAAGAACCTTCCTATAGTAAGCTTGTTTCAATCTTCATTTTACATTGTTAATTGTGGGATCATTGCGCCTTTAATTGAAAACTTTAAGGAGTGGTATATCAATTTTTGCAGCCGAATAATCTGTAAAGTCTTTATCTGCAATTCTTGTTATATGGAGACATTAATTCTATCCACTGTGAGGGGTCGTGGCGGTGGGGTGCTGCGCTAGCCCCCTCGAGGACTAGTCGGGTATCACCGCTGGTTTGAGCCCTAGCTCGCCGGCCGCGCGGACACCTCGGTTATCAAAAAAAAAAAAAAATTCTATCCACTGTGTTTGAAATGAATAGAACATAAGGTTCAACTTTGTCACCAATGGCATAGTCAAGGACATAACTTCCCTTGACATCAAACAGTTCCATGTGAATGTTTTCGGCTGCAAAAATTTCACGTCCAAACATGTTACCATCACCGCGCCCGGAGATAGGCTGGCCAGCGCCGTCGCTGGCCGAGGCCGGTCAGCACCGTCGCAGGTCGGCCTTGCCTTGGCTGGGCGAGGCTCGATCTCGCCCAGATCCGGCGAGGTCAGCCTAGAAGCGGTGGGCAAGGCTCGCCCTTGCCAATGGCCGACGGGGGCGAGCTTCACCAGTTGCCGGTGAGGTCGACCTAGTTGGCCCACGCCTCTGGCTGGTCATCCGACTGGTTAGAGGGAAAAAGGCAGAAATTTTTTTTTTATAAAATTTAAAAAATCGAAAAAAATATTTAAAAATTGCCACGTCATTGTTGGCCGAACGGCCAGTGCTGGCTGGTGGCCACGTCAGCGTTGGCTAGACAGCCAGCGGCCACGTCAGCGCCGGCCGGCTAAAATTTGGTTGGATGGATTCAATTGACAAAAAGTAAAAATGTTTATGATTGAATTGACAAATTTAAAAGGTTTATGAGTATATTGGCAAAAGTACAATAGGTGTAAGACTTTTTGGACAATTTTTCCTCTTTACAACAGTCACCATTATTGATCTGAACCAAGTCAAACCTAAAGTTAATTCAAGAGAAAGTCAGAGACTAATGGAATGTGTGAATTAACAAATATGGTGTATATCTTAATTGGGAGATACGCAGGAGGAATGTGCAGGTCCACCATTGTTGCTCAGTGCCTCTACAATGGATGTCGTTCATGTTTTTGTATTGGACGAGACGCGTTAAGCGGGTCATATACGGAACCTCCAGGAATATAGTCACCCGATAAGCAAATTCGTCTTCCTCGTCGGTACCTCGGCTCATTTCATCTTCCTTCGCTGTGCGAATCTGTGTGATACAACTGGTGATAATATAATGAACGCGATCATACTTAGTGAAATTTAGTTGAGTGCTCGGAGAGCCACAAAAAATCGAGGGATCCAAAAGTTTCTCGCACTTGGTAGCACAACGCTCGACCCCGATGAATAGTTGCTGTCGTTTCGTTGTCCTGACACACGAGGAAACACATTTTGCTTGGAGCTTCACAATGAGATTCCATTTAACATTTGCTAACTGCTTAACCAAGGAGATTCAACATGACATTTGATTTTATTCTAGATTTTCTTGGCTCGATTGGGAGAAGTTTAGAAGCCAATCATATATACTAGCTTAATTGAAAAATAAATGAATCACATCTCTGTTAATTGCGAGGAAATTATCTCGAAAGACAGGAGGGGAGTCATATGATTATCACCTTTTATGCTTTTGAAAAGAAAGGTACGGAAGGGACGAAGCTTCTTTATTAGGTCACCGTCCCATAAATGAAAATTGGACCAATGCCTTGTCAAATTTGAAAGTAACAAAGAACGCACCTAGACAAGATTAGTCCTACCCAGATGTGTTATATGGCGGATTTCTCTTTCCTTTTTTTTTTTTCCACCGACGATTCTACTATTTTGTTCTAAAAAAATAAATTTTCTTTTCCGTGTTGGTAGATTTTTAAAGGACTTTGCAATCGTCAAAAATTGTTGGTAAACAAAATTACCCAGTCACTTGATTTTTAGATAATTTGTTAGTTACATACCCGTACTTTAACGAAATTACCTACTTTTTTTTTTGCACCGTTTGCAAATTAACAATGTTTTGTAATTTAATGCCGACTTTTATTTGTCTTCCATACCAATTTCATAAATTAAAAAAAAACCCTATATGAATTTACAAATGTTTATTTGGGTAACTGCTTCCCCATAATTTCTCTAGGGACAAAATACCTTTCACCGAAAATCGCCGTTCAATTTTTAATAGAGGAAATGGCTTCTCCATTGTTTCCGGACATAAGATATCCAACCAAACGAAGAAATCAACAGCTTTACTTTGAACCAAACTATATAAATGCAAATCATGCCGAAATTTAATCGACGACAGAACCCGAGTATGCCAAGGTAAAGATACATGCCAGGTTTTAATCAACGATGCGAATCTGAAAACTACAGTTAAAAAATACGCCGAAATTTAATCGATAACGTAATTTTGGAAAATAAAAGTACAGTGTAGGATGGTAAATTTTGTTTGATTTGTGCGGGGGGCTTCTTGGTGGATGACCAATGATATTTATAATGGTTGTGTAAGTACCTACTCTCTAGCGGTATCCAAAGAAAAGGGGAATGCAAATGGGTTGAAGATTCTTGGCAATAAGGACAAACTAACCGCCTCTCTCTCTCTCTCTCTCTCTCTCTCTCTCTCTCCTCTTTTCCTACGCCTGTCCTTTTCTCCTCTGTCTCTCTCGCTTTTTCTTCTTCCCTTTTTTTTTTCCCACTTGTCTCGTTTTCTTACCTCGAATTTCTCCCGTTTTAGTAGGTAAATAATTGAGTTAATATAACCAAAAACCCCAAACTAATACGTTTAAGATAAATTTATTTTAAATTAATTTTTTACCTATAAAAAATCTCGGACTGATATATCTATCACAAATATATCTCAAAAATAATTTTTTGATCACAGAAAACCCCATATTGATACATCTGTGACAAATTCACCCTTCGTTAGTTTCCATTAAATTGGATTAATACCCAAAAAAATCACAAATTGATACACATGTGACAAACGGAGGGTAAAACCTAAAATCGGTATATCTGTCAACTGCCGCATGTCATTTAACAAAGCAGTTTGACAGCAAAATTTAATGAAAAATAATATGGGATAAATTTGTTTTAAGTGTACTAGTTTGAGGTTTTTTGTGATCAAAAAATTAACTTAGGGTAAATTTATCACGGGCGTACCAGTTTGAGGGTTTTTTGTGGTATTAACCCTAAATAATTCTCATTTCTTGGATACCGAATTTGTCCCCCCAAAAAAAAGTATTGCCCACTTTTTTTTTTATTTTTTCGATCAAGCCATTTTCGATTTGTCCAAGGTAAGTGATCATTGAGTGGGCTCAGGTTGGACCGAACCGAACGTTAAGGTCGGGAGGCCTATGCTTTTACCTAAGCCAACCCGACTCGAATTCTTTTATAATATATAATCTTCGGTAGGGTCGAATTTTACCATTAAGTGCCCTTATCTGAACTTGCCCTTGAAAGTCTTCCGGCCCTTGTGGCTCAACCCAACCCGGGGTAGGCCGCTATTGTGACCCCCCAGAACGTCACGCGTAACACGTACCAATTAATATTATTAATAAACTGGTCAGCGGAGGTCAAAGTCTGAACAAGTTTTGTCAAAATACTTTTGTTTCTCATTAACAACACTTGTGAGAATTACAAGTCCAGACAACATCATAAAATCACAAAGAACAAACATCTGGGTAGGTCGAGGTTGCCTATCTCCATGCTACAATTTACTCCAAAGACGGCCCGCACAAAAGTAGACTTTACAACGAGTCGTAGCTGTCGTCGCCTTCATATCAACCAAAATCCGCATCAACCCATATAGTAGATATACATATAGTACAAACTATATCCGCCCTCGGGACAAGCATATCAACGTACCGGCATTCATAGTATTTAGGGAAAAACCAGCAATTATTGGGAGCAGATTGTCCATTCCTACACGTTTGAAAAATAATGGGATGAGCCGAGACCCAGTAAATGAAATCTCTAGTTTTAAGTTAGGAAAATCAGCTTACCACTTCACCTGGCATAAACACATATGCATGCATAGCAAACGATATGCATAGAACTTGAATGCAAGTTATACCTTTTCCGTTTGGATGTGCCGCAAAATCTGAATAATGCAACATATCATAATATTTTCACTTAGACGCAAGCATAATGTAAAACATTTGTGCTCATGCGATTAGGTTCATTACTTCATCCTCCCGAACACTCCCGGGGCATCCCGACCAACGGGGCATCTCAACTCCAAGGCATCCCGGCACACACCCGGGGCATCCCGACCTACGGGCCATCTCAACTCCCGAGGCATCCCGAAACACTCCCCGGGGCATCCCGACCTACGGGGCATCTCGACACACGGGGCATCGTCACACACCACTAAATGGACAACAGAATTAATATTATTCTCATGAAAGCCATGACAACCAAGTATTTACATGCAAAAGTCCGCTTTGGCCCGTCCCATACCGAGCCATCACGGTTTTGTACTTTAAAATCATGAAATGCATCATCTGAGCAATTAAATATGAAGCAATACATTTCAAACTCAGAAGCAAACTCAGCTCATAAGCAAATTCAGGTTCAGAAGCAAATTCGAGTCATCATAAGCAAGTTCGGATCATCAGAAGCAAAATCGGTTCGATCATCAGAAGCGAATTCAGATTCAGAAGCGGGTTTAGACTCAAGCGAATTCAAGCTCATAAGCGGGTTCAGACTCAGAAACAAATTCAGACTCAGAAGCAGGTTCAGACTCAAAAGCGGGTTCAAACTCAGAAGTAAGTTCAGACTCACAAGCGGGTTCAGACTCAGAAGCAAGTTCAGACTCACAAGGCTAAAGTCTGAAGGTAAAGTTTGAACGAAAAGTCTGAAGGTAAAGTTTGAACAGTTTAAAAAGTATACAGAACTAGATTTTTTACAGTAAAGTCTGAGCAGTTTCAAAGGTACACAGAACTAAATTTTGACAGTAAAGTCTAAGCAGTTCCAAAGATATACAGAATCATCATTCACACTCACATAATATACTCCACTTTTAGTAAAATGATTTTCTACCCTTTTTTAAATATACATAAACCAATAAGAAGAATCCAACAATCACCTCAAAGATAACACTTACACATTCAGATTTAATCGTTTCACTTGCCGATTTTCACCATACTTTAAGGAAATAAATCACATCCATTTGAACGTGCACAGAACCAGCAAAACAGATTCAACCATCATCACAGCCTCACTATTGCACATCAAAATAACCTTTCTTAAGCAACCAAGTTAAAAGTGCCAAGTAGATTTACTTAGCTTAAACCTAGAGTTTTCACTTACCTTGTGCAGAATTTGAACACCCAAAAGTTAAAGCTCTATTGGAAATTTTGGATCGGTGATGGTGAAGGTAAAAAGTGAGGAAGGGAGTTACGATTTG